TGTGTTAACTCCTGTGTAATGCTGTACTGCGTAATTGAATACAGTAAGGTTTGGACAAGGAATTGGACAAAAAAAAAATGTGAATTTGAACTGCATGGTTAAATTTATTCTTTTGGCTTGTTTGGATAAGGTTGCTTTTTTCAGCGATAAATGCATTGAATCTGAACCTGTTTCTATGAAAGAATTATTAATAAAATCCTGCTAAGTGAGGCAGAGTGAAGACAGATATTGTTCATGGTGTTTTGCGTTTCATGATATGATAGTTAATTAAATGTCTCCCAAAAAAAACCTCTCATTTAATGTGATTTACTGACCATTTTTATCTTTACCATATATAAAAACAAAAGTAATTTAACTTTAAAACATGTTATAATGTTGCTCTTTATTATGTAATAGTTAATTGCAGATTACAAACATAGTTGCTGTCAAGGAGTCAACTACAGGCATAAGTGTGACTAGGCTGAGCTTCCAATGAACGCCTGGTAACAAGTGTAAGCAGGATTGGGGCAGGAGCTACACAACATTTTCCAAGCAAAGCAAGGACCCAATAAAACTACTATTCAGTTATTCATTCAAATATTAAGAGCATTCAGGGAGCATGGAGTGGTATTAAGCTAGCAGAGGTATTCCTGGGACAGATGAGTCTTGAGATGTTTCTTGAAGGTGGAGAGGGTGTTACGATCCCCAGTCTAGGGTTGGGGATCGCCAGAAAGGTAAGGGATAGGGGGGGACGAGGAAACCAGGGAATGGGAAAAGGGAACACGGGAAACAAGAGGGATACTGGGCTGGTTTTATGATTTTTACTAATGTTTTGGAGAAGATTCTGCACCATCTTTACTTGAGAAAGGAAGCGATTTTTCATGGCATGATCCGGCTGGTTACTTTTTGTCGGCCTCCACATTAATGCTGTTCAGAGGTGATTTAGGAGCAGCGCTCTAGTCTCACAGATCCATCGAGCCTTTTTGTCGCAGGTCTGCCATGAAATATGCCACCATTGGACTATACCACAATATCCATTCCGGGAATATGAACTCGGCTTCTGTAAACTAGAACAGAAAGAAAGAGAGCGAGTGATAAAACAATGTTTTTTTTAATCTTTTGTTAACAAGGCAGCAGCAACTCACCTGTTAGATTCTCCGTTAACGTTTTTATTAATCCAGGATGAATTTAATGACAGGGGAAATATAGTTATTATCAGTTCTTGTTATTTCTATTCCATCTTAAACATTAAAAAAAATATATATTGAAAATTGTATACTCTATATAACCTGTTGGCCAGTAAAATAATTATTGGGGACTAGAAACCGTGTAAATCAGGGCTCTTCAAATCTGGACCTCGTCGACTCATGTTCCGGCCGAGCTGTTCAGCGAGCGCCCGGACTGAGGACCAGCTCTCCGGCCAGCGCCATTGTACGCTGTACCAGCACTTTGGTCGTGGAAACGTCAGCGCGGCGCTTCTATTATATTCTGCTTGCTCTGGTCTCTGATTTATTTGGGTCGGCGAAGAAAGGTTGTATATTGTTTTCAGTAATTGTCTTTTTTTAATCGCCATATAATTTTACACTGAACCCGTGATCCGTCGCCTTTAATTTGATGCATATGCTTTGCTTTGTGGGATAGGGAACCTCAAGTAGCGTATAAAGCACGGACGTGCGCAAGGTTAAAGTTTTCCTGTGTCATTTTCTTGCGTATTGGAAGAAATGGCTTTTTTACTTGCTTCATGTATTAGTTAATATGTACAAATGACTAATTTTCTATGCCCTGTTTTAGTTCGGTAATGTGTAATGGATTGCTGTGATGCTAATTTGCGATACATGCCTATATATGTTATCGTATCATTTATTTGTAATTCCGTTGATGATTAACGTTAGCACTTATCGGCCAGCTTGTTGTAACCATGTGCATGCTCTGCTAGGTAAGAGATCTCCCAAGTCTTTTCTGTGTTTGGTTTATTACAGTTTCACTCATAGATTTTCTCCTGTCACATACAGAGAAAACACGTAGCGGGAACATTACACTGTTTATTACAATATACACTACAGGAGGCGCAAAGTGACATTAACACAGTATCTGAAGATGGTTGGCGCAAACCCAGTATGGTTGAAATACCGGTAAATTGCTGCTCTCTGTGGATTAAAAAAAAATACGGGCTCTTTAAGTGAGGGCGATCAAAAGATATAAGGGGCCAACTTTAAAAATTATTCGTGGGAGCATCTACATATATAGTCAGTACTTTGCCCCAGAGGATGTGTATACATCATCCAGCCAGCTTCTCAGCTATTCTCAGCTTTACCTTTTTTTTTACTTGATTAGCGTTGAGCTTTCTTATATTCCAATGGTCCTGAGCGGCGCTCGGGTAACCCGGAAATAAAGATAACCTGCCTCTAGTCAGGACGGAAATTACCTGACGTTAAGTGAAAGGGGCCAATTCGCTTACTGACCTGGTCATATGAACGGAACTTGGTCAGTAACTGGTGAGTGTCTGTACTCCTCACACCTGGCTCACAGGTAAAGGATGGATGGAAAATCAGAAGTGCTCAGACCTTGAGGATCGTGATTTTAATAACCCTGGTATAAACCATGTATGAGCAAGAGTGACACGGAAAGTTGTTTCTTTTTCTGTAAAGGAATCGACATACTGTGTCTGAATGAATCCTTACCCTGTCAGAGATCTGCCATCCAGCCAAATCCAACCTTTCTTCTCTACATATGTCAGTCCAATCCAGTGATTATCGTTTTTTCCATTAAAGAAGCCCTGAAGACAAGACAGTGAATGATTCATGCAGCTCTGCTGAGAGACACACTGACACATACTGTATCTCAGCATAAGCAATAGAGCGACACAAAACTACTGCATCACCCACTCTTCAGATCACATGAGTGAACAACAGGAGAGCAGTTACACTATCTACACTATGACCAGCCACTCAGACAGTACATACTTGTTCCTCTTTGCTCTCCATAATTACCAGGTCAGCTCCCAACTTAAGACATTCAATCCGACTGTCCTTCCATGATTTCTGCTCCATGGAGATAAAGTAGCAGTTGGAGTTGAACGGCTCCCAGTCCTGTGGACACGGTCGGCATGGTTTCTCTGCAAAGACAAAGAAGACAAACTCTGTCAAAAATGCAATAAAATGCCGTCAAATAAAACAAAGAACAGATTGTGGAATAAGGGCTATATTACGTATTTCATTGGTGTCACAATATGAGGTCAGGTGGTGTGATTTATCTAACACAGCTTTGTAGTTTTTTTGTAACACATCCTTTTGTTTAGCTGTGATGCTGTAATTTTTCTGTAAATGGTTGTTGTAGTTTGTTAAGACGGTGTAGTTTTCCTTCAGCTGGTTATTGTCACTGGCCAGGGAGCTGCAGTGTTGCTCTATCTGGCTGATTTCTTCTTGTATCTGTTCCTTCTCTTCAGTCAGGTTCCTGTTGTTTGACCTGAGCTGCTGCAGGTCGCCTTCCATCACTGAGCATTTCCAGTTGGCTCTATTTACTGTTTCCGGATGACAGTGAGACATAAAACATACAGTGTAACAATCAACACAGCACCCACTTGGAGACCAATTACAGGTATTCTATTCTAATTTAGTAAAACCTAGAGAAATATAAAAATAATTTTAAAATAATCTTATTAATCATATCATGCATATCAAATTCTGAAAATATAGTGAACCCACATGGCACCTCTGGGAAAGTGTTCTCAAATATTAGTTAAAATCATCAGTATATGCAATGGGTTTTTTTAAGTTTCATATGGTTGTTTCAGAAATGCCTGCATTTACAATATATTATACTGACATGAGAGGCAATCATTTTGAAACTAAAGCAATAGTAGTTTTTCTGCTATTTAAAAATCTAAACTGATGCAGTGTATTACTAGTCTTACTCTAATGAGGCCATTAGCATATATAGCAGTGGTGCAGTGTTGCACTGCTCTAAAAATGATCATTTTTACCCTATTAGAAAGTGAACATTTACGCTACACAAAATTACACACTATCTGAGCTGTGAATTATGCTCCCTGTAGATACACAAATTCTAATAATGTGTTTCACTTACATATAGATATGAAAAGTGATTCATACTCACAACAGATACTCAGGACAATGATGCAGATGGTTAGGAAAATACACAACAGCAGCAGACACACTGCAGTCGGCCTGTAGGGATGGGGGTGTGATCCAGGTTTCTCTGCCCCTGATGGGAATGAACAGAGATTTAAACCACATGAAGATTTTGCCTGAATATAAAAGTATAAAATGGTGCATGAACAGACAGGGGCACCATGAATGGTGTGGAATCCCTGAATGATTGTGTGATGCGCCACACACAGTCCTTTGGATGTTGGCCAAAAATCTTCATCTTGGTCTCATCTGTTGTCATGGACCGCTCC